AATTCCAAACCCTCCCTGCTCTGCTGTTCGGAAGTTTCATTTCCGCCCTAAGCTTTTTCCTCCCCGGTTTTAACTTGTTTAAACTTGTGCAACAATGTATCTGGTAGCCCTGAGGGATAAAAACAAACAGCTCTTACTGCCCACGGTTGTGGTTTACGAAGATGACAGTTGACAAGCCTTAACGTAAAGGAATTTAAAGGATGCTGTGGAAAAAATCCTTTTCTCTCAAGTGTTGGGTAATGGGGACAATAAGGAACAGTCATTAAGTTTGTCTGTCTTGCAAACAGGGCTCTTGTTTGAGAGAAGAGTTTGTTCTAAGCCAGCACAAATCTGATGCTCTCCACCACTTCCTTCCCTGATTTCTGCTCCCTGTTTTAGGTTATTGCTGCTCAACCAGTTCCATGATGTCCTGCCAGGCAGCTGTATCCAGCTCGTGGTTGAGGATGCCCTGCGRTACTACAAAGGTGAGCAGGGAGTTGGGCTAGGAGGACACTCACCTCTGGAAACACACTGGGTCCTGCCTGGTGGGGCTGCAGAGGTTCCAACCCTAAATAGTCTAAAGTGGTTTAAAATCAGCAGGGGAGCCACGGGAGTGAGAACCATCCCCATTTATTGGCTTTTCTGCTTGCTGCTGGCATGCTGGGATAGACTCCCACCAACGTTTGCTTCTGCCTGCAAATGGGGGCTTGCAGGAGCCTCGTTAACCAGAATTTCCCAGCTGAGCTGGCACAGCTCATTGTAATCTTGTAATAACAAAGTTCAGAATAATTATACACTCGAATTACTTACTAATAGATAATAATAATTAATGATAATTAGCAATTGTAGCTTGGAAGGAGATAAAGTGTGTGTACATTGCATGGGGAGTGCCAGAAGCTCTCTCACATCCAACTCAGGCCCTTTTGTTGCCCAGAGATCCACAGGGATGGTGCTCARCTGCAGGAGGAAGCTGTGCAATCCCTGTGCAGGGACCTGCTGCAGCCCAAGGCACAGAACACCCAGAGCACCCTCGTGTTGAACACTCTGCCTTGGGAACGCACCGAGGTGATCTCCAGGCCTGGGCCAGATGGAGCAGAGACTTTGGGTATGTCTGACCTGGGGGTAACTCTTGTATCAGAATTCCTTATGGGGGCAGGGATAGCTAACAGGGAAATACTCTGCTTCTCCCTGCCCYGGGGAGGGTTTTATTGGCTGTTCAAATTGTTCTTTGGACAACTCGAAAGGGGATTAAGTCCCCTGAAGTATGGATGAAGAGGAGGGTATGGAGAGGAGGGGGCAGATTTGACATGAGAGCAGCAGGGCAGCACAGTACTATGACTTAGGGTTCAGCCTGGGGGRAATGTTGGAACAGAACCTCTTTGCTTTCCAGCTCTGGTGACAGTCCCCAGCATGGGCTATGCTCTAGTGCAGGAGCCACTGGTGCCTCCTCACCCTGTGACAGTGAGGAAACAGGTAAGCACAAGGTGTTTTCTTCAGATCTGTGTTGCCTGTGTCAAAGGTTGTTTCAGGGAGAAATCCAAGGAACCCAGCATTCAGCAAATCCACATACTAATTTTGCAACTGAAGCAGTCAGCTCCCACAGGTTTGACCCCTGTTTCTGGCCTTTTCCCCAGGAGGATGGCTCTGTTACCATGGAGAATGGGGTAATTGCTGTCTGCCTGGACACGATGGGGCACCTGACCTCGCTCCARCTGCTGGACTCCAGGAGGTCTGTGTCACCCAGTTCCTGGCCCTGGGCTCCTCCAACCTCTCCCAGGGCTTCTCACTGTACATCTTTCTCTACTGCYAGTCCTTCTGATGCTACTGTTCCTCTGTTCCACTTTCTTTCAGAGAGTCAGTCCCAGATGRCTGCTATGCCAACCAGTTTGCACTCTTTGATGATGTTCCCCTCTACTGGGATGCCTGGGATGTGATGGATTATCACTTGCAAACCAGGTAGAGGAGCAGTGCATGCAGCACTTGGATTTTGGCTTTGCCCTGAAATTCTTACCTCCCTGTCAGTCCTAGCTGTCAAAGGGCATTCACTCCAGAGCAATGAGTGCCTGCTGCATGGGTGGCTGGATTGGGATTTGGAAATCTGGAGATTATCTCTGCCTTCATTCCTTTCTCTAGGAAGCCAGTGACAACGCTGCTGAAGCCTCTGGAAGTCACCCAGGCTGGGGGCCTGCGGGGAAGTGTGAGGTTCTCCCTGCAGGTTGGGAAAAGCAGCACCTTAACCCAGGAGATCATCCTGGATGCCATGTGCCCGTACCTGCGCTTCCAGACACAGGTTTGGCCCGTGGCTGCTGTGTGATACCRACATTTCTACTCAGCTGGGAACTGGGGAGCTGAACCTTGTGCCTGAATTATATCCTCCCTCCCTGTTTTCTTCCCTGGAGTCCCCTGCTGCCTSTCCTCCTCTGCAGACAGCAGCCCAAGGGACAAGGGTGGAAGAGGGACCCACAATTCATCCATGTTGAGGCTCTGCTGTGTTTYTGTTGTGGCTGCCATGGACTGGCYGCTGCACACCAGGACAGGAGARGTGCAGTCTGTGCCCATCAATCCCYTGTGGTGACGTGCTTCTGCTCCCACATTTAGGTGGAGTGGAAGGAGGCTCACAAGTTCCTGAAGGTGGAGTTCCCTGTGCAGGTCCGGAGCACCAACGCCACCTACGAGATCCAGTTCGGACACCTGCAGCGGCCAACGCACTGGAACAYGTCCTGGGACTGGGCTCGGTTCGAGGTGAGAGGGGAGTGCTCTGCTCCCAGGCCAAGCTGCTCCCACTCCAGGCAGTAGCTCTGTGTGCTGAACACATCCCTTGGTATCTGCTGTAGGTGTGGGCTCACAAGTGGCTGGATCTCTCCGAGCATGGCTTTGGGGTAGCTCTGCTGAACGACTGCAAATAYGGGGCATCGGCCCACAGGAACATCCTCAGCCTCTCCCTGTGAGTTAGGGGTGGGTGACGGGAGAGCTGCTGTGGCTACTCTGAGGTGTCTCTTGAAAGTCTAAGCCACCTGGTCCTAAAAGACTTTAGTTAACAAGGAAATAATCTGGTGGGTGGTGCTGTGCCGAGAATTTGGCCAACTTAAATTATCTTAATCAATTAGAACTAATTCCTGTAACCTGTACTCATAGATAATTCAGGAGAGATCAGATTCATATTTGTACCCGGTAGCTTTTCTGTTGCTAACCAAAACATACCCCAGGAAGGGACGCTTAAGGGGAGGAAAGGAACAGGAGTTAATGTTACAGATGCATACAAAGCTAAAAGCAACTGTGAATTTCAGTTTGACTCCATCAGTCACAATTTTCACAGGAAGACACCCGTTTTTTAGAATTCTGGGACTGTCCTGTGTCTGTTTGCTGTTGTGTGTTTGCTTTCACCTCAGGGCCCAGCCTTGAGGTAGCAAGGGAAGCAGTGGTCTTGTCACAAGAGTGCTCTGACTCTGCWCTGTGTGACAGTGGGTGCTGCCAAGACACCGGTCTCACTCACCTCATGTTGCCTTAGGCTGAGAGCCCCCAAGTCYCCCGATTCCACAGCAGACATCGGGCACCATCAGTTCACCTACGCYGTGATGCCTCACCAGGGTGAGTGACAGGCAGAGCTGGSCCCCATGGKGACAYRCAGWGTGGGAGAAGCTCCAGTGAGCATGRGGTGAGCGTGTYTCTGTGCACAGGCAGCAGCTGGCTAGCGGTTCTTGTGCTGCAGGTTCCTTCCAGGAGGCCGGTGTGATTCAGCGAGCCTACAACTTAAATTTCCCACTCCACATGGTCCCAGCAGCCAGCTGTGCCCAGTGCCCAGCCTGGAGTGCCTTTTCTGTCAGCTCACCTGCCATCGTGCTGGAGACTGTCAAGCAGGCAGGTGCTGGGGCAGAGGAGGGGAGGGCAGAGGGGTTCCGGTGCTGTTGTTGAGCAAGGCTTGCTTTTTCACCCGCACCAAGTGGTGGTCAGGCTCAGCTGAGCACAACTGCTGTTAGAGAGGCTGTGCCTGTCTCATTTGCATGAACTCTTCCTGGACTGTCCCCCAAAGGCTGAGGACAGAGCTGAGGCTGTGGTGGTTCGGCTCTACGARGCCCATGGCAGCACAGTCACCGCCTGGCTCCAGACCTCTCTCCCTGTCAAGGAGGCGATGCTGTAAGTCCACGCCAGAGGGCTGGGGGTGTGGGGATGGAGATGAGTCCCTTCAGCCTCATGTTTTCTCCCCAGCTGTGACCTCCTGGAGCGTCCAGTTGCACAGGGCCACCTGCCGCTGGAGCAGCAGGGCCTGAGGCTTTCCTTCACACCTTTCCGKGTGCTCTCCGTCCTCCTGGTCCTGAGCCGCTGACACCAAACATCACCCCTGCTGCTGCTGAAGCAACCTGGACCAACGCTGTCAGCTTAAATCGCAGACTGAGATGTCCCCGACCCCAAGAGTTGTGCAAGGCAGCAGTTTCAGGGAAGGGCAGTGTCCCCATGTTCTTCACCCAAATGTCAGACCCCACTCCTCAGGGAAGGGTGACAGCTGCTCACTGCCCATCCAGATCTTGAGTGAGTTCTGAGCTCACTAAAGTTTGGATAAAGGTGCWGACAGGCTGGTGGCACTGGATGGGCTCTGCTTCAGCCCCAGGGCTCTGGGGAGCAGCAGCTTCCACAGCGACTCCTGTGTCTCAGCCTTCATCTTCTAGCAGTGAGTGTAAAAACACACTCCACTCCTTCCCTTCTCCCTCTCCCTGCCCCWTGCTCTGCCCTTGCAGAAGAGGAAACACAAAAAATCAAGAGAATTACATAAAAACAAGCTCCAGCATGTTTTCTTATTTCTAGGTAACTGCATTGACCTGCCTCCTCCCCGGGGCTTTGYTGTAGTTGCTTTTTTAGTGTCCACCTAAGCATGATCTCACTCCTGGGACTGGGGAGGCAGAGCTTCTCTCTTTTTTTGGGGGCATGAGGTGGAGGGGAAACCTGCTCCAGCCCCTGTGGGGAAGAGGCTGGGCACAGAGGAGTTTATCCTTAGCACGAAAAGGCATGCACGGTGATTTCTACACAAAATACTTTATTAGTCAGCTAAAAACAGTGATTGGATCAGCAGCCAGAAAGAGGCAGAGGGAAGAGTCAGAGTCCAGCACAACGTGTGGCCCTGACCCCTTTTCCCCTCAAATGCCTGTGGACTTTGCAGTAAAAAGCCCCATCACCAAGCTCAGCTTCTCTCTCCCACACTGGCAGGATGCAACAGTGGCAGTGTGAGCACAGGCACAGAGCAGCTCCACTTGCCCTCGCACAAACCCGGGGCTGTGACCAGGCTCCCCCTGAGCTCCTCTTGGCCCCTTAAATGCCCCTCACGAGGTGGCAGAGCGTGACACTCACAGGGCAGGGGCTGTGCCTGGAGAAGGGAGAGGGAAATGAGGAGTCAGAAGGCAAAGGGGTATCTGGCTGTGCCCCATGGKCTCCTGTCCTGCCTTTTGGCACCCCTCAGCCCCCTTGCCACAAGGGAGCTCTCCCACAGCCCTCACCTGTGCAYCAAAGCCACAGGGGCTGCCAGCCTCACCTTGGCCCCTGCGGGCAGATGTCCGGCGGCTTCTTCTGAYGCCTGGTGGCACCTCAGGCTCAGGCAAGGCTGGAGCAGCAGCTGCTTTCCTCCTCCCACGAGCACGTCCCTTCCTTGGCCCGTCAGCTTCCTCTTCCTTCTTTTCCTCCCCCTCCTCTGACTTTGGGGGGTTCGCTGCAGCCCTGTGGCGCCGTTTCACGGGACGTGAGGTGACCTGGGTGGGCATCAGAGCCAGAGCTTAGCAGCAGAAGTGTCTTTGGAGCACCAAGATGAGAAACTCCATATAGGATCACCACCATGAATCCAGGAGCAGCCTGAGCAAGGCATGGGGGAACAGGATATCCAGACACAGCCACAAAGCTGCTCACCTTGGGGGCCAGCGCCTCGGGGTCTGCCTTCAGCTGAGGGCTCTTCTTGCGGGGCGTCTTGCGAGGTCTCTGCCCTGCATGAGAGGATGTGCCCAGGTCAGATGGGGTGAGGAGGGGATGAGGCACTGCCTGCACCCCAAGGGACAAGCCACAGCACGGTGACCTGGCAGGGTTGCTGTCCTGGGTGATGAAAAGCCATCCAACAGCTGCACCCAGGCAGGTTTGGGTACTGGTAGGAAGCCTTGGGGACAAATGGGTTCTGTCCCTTGGTGCCAATGACTGTCACAGGCCTGTCAGCACCCAGAGAGAATGGCTCTGCCCCTGCCTGTGCCCTTGTGCTGCACAGTAAGAACAGGGTTTCCCAATCCCCATCCCTCCCGGAGCAAGAGTGGGTCCCACAGGAAGGGGAGAGGACACTCACCTTTGGGAGCCATGGGGCCAGGCTCTCCCTGTAAGGAAGGGACAGAGCAGTGACTGGGGTGTGGTCACTCTGCAGGCAGCAGCAACAGAATCCCTGCCCCTTCTCCATCCTACAGCCATCGCTGTGGTAGGGAAACAGCCACATTTCCCTGGGAAGCCAGGGGAGTCGGGCTTGCTCTGCCTGCCCTGTGCCTTGGGGACTCTGCTGTCAATCCCTGTACCTGCAGGGCCCACACACAGGGCACAGGAGTGAAGAAGAGGGCAGCCAGACCACCCGAGCCCCCCATTCCCTCCATCTGCTCCAGACTGCTCACCATCCCTTAGCTGGCTGCCCACCATCCCTTAGCAGGTCCTTGTCACCTCCATGGCCAGCAGTTTGATGAAGAGGAAGTCCCCCAGCCCCACAATGTAACACAAGTCCCAGAAAGCAGGAAACAGACTGCTGTCCCCTTGGAGGAGTTTTGGGGGCCCCCCAGCTCCGGACAGCAGCCCCAGGCTCCTACCTGGAACCATATGGTCCTGCCATTGCGGTCACGCAGGGAGCTCATGCCAGGCACCAGGTAACACCGCAGCCAGTCCTTGAAGGCAGCATAGTTATCCGAGTCCTCGGGGTCCAAGAGCTGCTTGTCTGGGAGGGAAGACAGGGAAAAGACAGAGCACAAGTCATGAATCCCATGTCAGGGTGCCCTCCCAAACCTCCTGATGCTGAGCATGCAGAGTCCCGGCCTGTCTACCAGAAGCGTCCCCCAGCTATCTGTCCTGTCCCTCACCTGCCGTGATGACCTCCATGGGCACACTGTGGCACAACTCCAGGAGATCCGGATTCTCCTGCATCAGCTTCACCTTCTTGCTCAGTGTCAGGGAAGGATCCTGCAGAGACAGAGAAGGGAGAGAAGTCACTTGCCAGCTACCTCTGCCTCCTCGGGTTCTCTCCTCCCATCTTCTTCCCCATCTCTTGCCCTCCAGAGGATGAGCTGCCACTCCCTCCACACGTGACAGCCCTGAGCTCAGTGGACTTCCAGCTTAACTACAAAGACATGAAAGAGGGCTAAGACACACAAACACCAGCAGCAGGCCCTGTAGGTTTTTTCAGTCTTCTTTAAAATAGCCTCTCCCCTGAGACCACAAGATCAGCCTTGGGCTTTATTGCAGCCTTCCCCTTGGAGATTTTAAGGTGTTTGTTTCCCTCACCTCTGGCTCTTCAYCCACCCCAAAAGCACTTGTAGACTTTCTTGGGGCAGAAGACTGGCAGAGCTCATCATGCAGGGCCATGGGCAACCAAATCCCTGCTTATAGCAACTGCCTGGAAATGTGCTGCTRTCTGAGCCTGTGAAAGCACCTGGTATTCCCCACCTTCTTCCTCCTCTCCTGCTCCTGCTCTTTCAGGGCCTCCAGCACGGTCCGAGCTTTTTCAAAGGGAGGGATCTTCAACCTGAGAGAGTTACACACAAGCCTGAACCCTCGGTTCTGGCACTTCCAGTGTCGATCRGGTGAGGAGGCACAGCTGGCTTAGCCAAGGAACTGTCCAGCTCCAGCAAATTCTTAAGAGACTAAACCTCCATGGCAGGTCAGTGGGTGCTCAACCCACCTTACCTGTACAAGATCTCAGCACGCAGGTAATTCCCAATTCCATTGAAATACTTCTGGTTTAAGAGAACCTCACAGATGGGCTTGTCAAAAACCCTGTCATCCAGGTTCTTCAGCACATTCTCCCTGCAAGAGAGCACGGGGCACCAAGAAGAGTCACCTGGGCATGTCCGTGCAGGAAAAGCAGCCAAAACCAAGCAAGGGGCATTCCTCAGGACGCTCACCTGAAGGCCTGGTACTCAGAGACCACGCAGGGCCCGCGTTCCGGCTGCCAGGCGTCCCCCAGGCGCCAGGACCCGAAGCGCCGGGGGTCCACGAAGCAGAGGGCGCGGGGCGGGCTCTCACGGGTGAGGAAGCGAAGGTGGGCATGGCGGGGCAGCTCGGCGGCGGGGCTCAGGCGGAACGATCCCGACATGCCGAAGCGGAACACGAGGTCCTGCGGAGGGGCGGCAGCGGGGTCCAGCGCGCTCAGCGTCAGCCGCAGCTCCTTGCCCCGGGCTAGGGCCGAGATGCGGTAGGCCTCGCTGCGGAAGGGCACCTCCGGGCCGCGGCCCACGGCCGAGCGTTCCACGCCGCCCGTGAACAGCAGCCCTCCGCACACGCCGTTGATGAAGCGCCCGGCCAGGTGCAGCTCCGGGCACTCGGGCATGGCCGCGACTGCCCCGCACAGCCCGGACCCGCTGCCGCCTGCAGGCACGGCCCGCCCCCATTGGCTGCGCGGCGAGCGGTGCGCGCTCCCATTGGCTGCGCGACGGGCCGTGCGCGCTCCCATTGGCTGCGCGGCGGGCGGTGCGCGCTCCCATTGGCTGCGCGGGAGGCGGTGCGCGCTCCCATTGGCTGCGCGGTGATGCCGGAAGTGGTCCTGACGAAGCGGGCCCGCCGAGGGGAGACGCCGCACAAAGCGGGGACACAGCAGCACACAGCTCAGCTTTGTCACCGCGACTTTATTGGAGCTGCCCCAAGACCTCGCGAAACCGGGAGGGCAGGGAAACGTCCTCCTCCCCAGCCAGGAGCACCAGTCTGGSCMCCCAACTCAGTGTCSGTGYCTCCCGCCATGGYCCTTTTCCGGCTCCTCAGAGAAGAGTGTTCATCAGGGTCTGRGCCTGCTTCAGCTCTGCAGAGAGAGGATGGAGAGGTGGAGGAGCTGCTGGGACTGCAGCATCCCTCCCAGCATCACCTTCCCAGCATCTTAGCCTGCAGAATCCCCCAAGGAAGTCCCGGCTGCCACCCCTCCTGGAGCCTCACCTGCCAGCAGCACCCGAAACTTGTTGGCCGAAAGAGTCACGGGGACAGCTGTCATCTTCTCACACTCTCTGTCCCGCACGTTGAAGGTCAGGTGCACCAGGGGCTCGTTGACCTCCTGCAGCTCGCTGGAGCTGAGGGTGTAATCCACACGCCAGCACACAGAGCCCAGCTGGCTCACTGGGGTGGGGAGCACGACAATGTCACCACCCCGGGTACTCCGGCAGGGTGACTGACACTGACCCCCAAAATCTTATTAAGACCCAACACGCCACTCACATCGCAGGCTGCAGGCCCTGAGCCTGTCCTGGAGGGAGCTCTGCTTGTCCTCGTAGGAACGGCACAACCCGCTGGCATGCTCTGCTCGTGACAAAAGAAGAAGCCCTCTGCTCACAGCAGACCTGCAGCTGGCATAACCCCCAAAGCACCTGAGGAGCCCCCAGGGATTGGTGGCACAGGAGGGAGGTGATGGAGGACACCATCAGCCAGCCTGCCCTGCACTGCCTTCACGCCCTGCATCTGGGTGTGAAGAAGGCAAGGCTGGGAACTGTCAGGCACATCCCCACCAGGTCTGGCTCACAGTGCCACCCCGAGGGTTTCCCCTACCTTTGGGCAGCCCCAGCTGCTGCAGCTCACTTGACAGAGACTCACTGTCTACATTGTGCTTGGCTGCACTGGAGAGGATGAAGCTGAGGACAGCGATGGTCGCCTTCACATCCCCTGACTCTGCAGAGGAGATGGAGGGTGAGCTCTGTCACCTTGGGAGGGGGATCCCCAGATGGATGTCTGCCCATCCCTAGAGCATGGCTCCATCGGGAGATCCTGGCAAGGACAGCAGTGCTCACCTAACTTTGCATCTGAGGTCAGCTTCAGGATCTTGTCATACTGTGGGAGAGCAGAGTGTTGTGGTAAACACCAAATAAYATGCTCACTACCGGTGCTAACACTAATAACTATTACCTTAATACTAGCAACAYTTACTATGCATATTATTACTACTAGTAGTGGCTGGTAGCATTCTTAAAGCTGAAGGCTTGCACGAAGGACACGAGATTAATTAACATCGCTGATTATGCCATTGTAGGATTGAAACACTTGGTCTCCACTGYGGTAGCTCCTCACTTACCTCGATGGCCTCCCCCAGCAGGTCCCGTAGCACCTGGGCGCAGATCAGCTTCAGCTTCACCGAGGACTGCGGGGGAGAAGAAGGGTGAGCAGCGGGCCTGGAGCGGGCGGGGGGCGGGCAGGGGGACGCGGGAGGGGACACGGGCACTCAACTATTTTGGCCAGGGTGCTGATCTCGGCCAGCACCCAGTCAGGGCAGTCCAAGTCCCCGCAGAAACGGAACCGCTGCGGGGGAAGAGGTGGTCAGAGCCCGCCGCGGGCTCCGCACGCCATCCCCATTCCCCGCCACCGACCCCTCCCCACCATATCGCCGCCGCTCCCCGATCCACGGTGCCACCGCCTTTGAGACCCGGAACCACTCCCGGCCGGGCTGCCGCTCCGCCCCTCCCCGCCCCTGCCCCTAGTGCCGATGGGGCGCTCCGGGACGGGCTCTGCGGGGGACTTTTGGCCGGGACCCGGACCCGAGAGAGGGTCGGGGAGGGACGCGGGGCTCTCGGGCCCTTCGAGCGCCCCTGTTCCCGCCCTACAGAACGCCCCCCTTTCCGCAGGGCCGCAGCCTCACCACAGGCTCCGAGCCCGCCAATCCCGGCCCGCCTTTCTCCGCTCTGACCAATCACAGCCGCCCTTTCAATCCGGGCCGGTCTCACCAAACTCAGCCGCTCAGTCGCGGCCCGGCCCCWGAGCTCGGCCCCGCCCCCCGTTCGCTTGAGGCGCCCCTCCCGCCGTCRCCGCTTTGGGAGCCGGCGCAGCCCGGGCAAGTGCTGTTGGAGCCCGGGCAGGGCGTGGGGGGAGCTCTCCCGGCGGAAAGGGGTGGGATGGAACCCCGGAGCGGCGGCGGCGGCGGCAGCCGGGCCTGAGGGGACAGCGGGGGCTCGCGGAGCCGAGCGGGGCGGGAACGGGCGGGCTGGGATTGGCGGAGCTGGCGCTGCCTCGGGCTGTGATTGGCTGGGCTGGKCTGGCCTCGGGCTGTGATTGGCTGGGCTGGKCYGGCCGTRGGGCATAAATAGYGTGCGYAGGGRGCGTGTGGGMSKCAGTTSGGCRGCGGTGAGGGCGGMGGTGASKGTRGGMGATGCTRGTCCGCRRTGCGAGGAGCGCCGCTGCGCCGAGACCGGASCGCCGTGCCTGCCGAGAAGCGCCGGTGAGCACGGACGCGGTTCTTGCGTAACTGGGGCCTGGGGCCAGCGCTGTCCTGGGGCAGCGGTGCTGGCTGTGCCCGGTTCTGCCTGTTGCACCTTGCGAAGCTCGGGCATCGGCGGCGCCACAGGCCGGAGAGAATCCCTTCCGTGGCTTTTGGACTTAATGTTGAAAATACAGGGAATAAAAGTGCTTTGTTTTGTTTTCATTACTTTATTCTACTCRTTTTAAATATTTCCAATAATCATGCTTTTCTTTGTTATGTTGTTTTGTTCTAATCGCTTTATTATTTATTTTTAGTTTTTCACTTGCTCTCTCATGTTAACTCCATAAAGGTTGTGGGGCTGGGCCTGGAACAGCAGTTTGAGCCCTTAGGAGACATAAGGCCCCAAGATATGGAATAAGGACCTTGGGACTAGAATCAGGCCCAAACTGATGTGGGACAATGGAAATGCCAGAGCTGGACAAATCCCAKGGAGGAGGGATGGAGCTGCAGCTCAGGAGATGCCTGGGGGAGTTGCCAGCCCCTGCCCCTGTGGGGGGGCTCTGGGGGCCCCAGGGACTGAGAATGAGCCCAAGGGCACCTTTTGGGAGGGGGAGCCAGGGGAATGCAGCCACAGCCCCAGAGTCCCATTCCCAGCCCCCGGTGCTGCCTGGGGGAGGAGAGGACAAGTGCTGGGGTTGAGACCCAGCCTCATGGGGGCAAGGTACATGTTAGGGTTCAGGCCTCGTGTTGTGACAGCTCCTAGAAACACTGAAGTGATGACAGTAATGAATTTATGGCTTTATCAACAGCCCCAGCTGCAGTGAGAAGCAGGAGCAGCTTTTTACTGGAGTAGGACGAAGCTGAGGAGCTGGACCTGAGGCAGCAGAGCGAGAGGAGACAGAACYATGGKAGGGCTGGGGSTGAAACCCCTGTGGGGATGGGATAGGGACKATGGAGCWGTAGCTGGAGTAAGGAKTGTCAGGCTGGGGCTGGAATATCACTGCARGASCTGAGCTGAAATAAAAATCCTGCCCTGAGAAGCATGAGTAGCACCATGGGGCATTGCTGGGAAGATGTGGAGCTGGAAGTTAAACAGAACAGCTGGCAGTGAAATAAAGCTTGTGGGTCTGGAGCTGAAATCAYTGGGGATGGGAGAGGGACACTGGGGCTRGGATGGAGGCAGAAAATAACATAAAAACAGTGGAGCTTTAAAAAGGACTGTGGGATTGGAAGTGTGGGGGTGTCATACTGACTGTGAGGCTAGACCTAAAAATCACTGTAGTACTGGGATAATTACAGTGCACCTGGGAGAGCAACTGTAGGATTGGAGCTGGAATYGCTGACTCTGGGGTGGGGTAAGAGACTGTTGGGTTGGAGCTGAATTGTTGCCAAGCTGGAGCCAAGATGAAGATCTTGCTGATTGAACCTTGACAGGGTGGTGTTGGAGAAATGCAGATCTGGAAGTGGAAGAGCAGAGCTGGCAGTGAAACAAAGTTCTGTGAGACTGGAGCTGGAATCACAGTAGAGCTGCGAGAGTGACAGGAAGGCTGAGAGCTCATAGAGGTGTTTATAAAGATTGTGGGGACATGATGCAAAGCTGGGGCTAAAACTCTGATTGGGGAGCTAAAATTAAACCCCTSAGCTTGTCTGAAATACAGACCCCGGGGCTGGAGGTGAAATTAAAATTGTGGCTGTAGAGATGAGAYGAGGCAGAGCTAGAGGCAAAATAAAGATGCTGAGCCTGAGGCTGGACTAGGGACTGCAGAGCCAGGGGCAAAGCAGCACAGAACTTGATCTGAAATAAARAATTCGGGGTGTTTAGTACAGACAGCAGGAGCTGCTGTCAGTGGTGTGGGATGGGAGCTGGGATAAAGGCTTTGGGACAGGGTCAGGGCTGGAACAAACACTCCAGAGCAGGATCTGGGATAAAAACCAGAGTGCTAGCACAGAAAGCATGTGGAGCTGTAACAGTGACTGTGGGGCTGGCAGGCACATCCTTCCTTTTTAAACTCCCTGGCACCAGGGTCTAGTGATCCCCCAGCTGGAGAGCCCAACTCAGCAGCACCAGTGACACCAGCAGCACACAGCAGGRGTGGTAYTGGGCATTGTGGGCTCACCRCCACCCAKGCAGCAGACACACAGACCCTTCAGAAGAGCTGGGTTTGACGGTCTATAAACAGTTTATTTAAGATACAAAGTTATTCCTTTACACACCTGAGTCTGCGTTGTGCTGCTCAGGGAGCACCTGGCAGCTGCTGCCAGCCGAGCAGGGGCACTGCTCAGCATCCCCTTCCCCCCACAGCCCCTCTGCAAGCTCCCTCCAGCTGCTGCTGCTGCTCTGCTCAGGCAGACGTGCTTTGCCACTGGATGCCACCGTCCTCAGGGTCCTGCAGGGCAGAGGGAAGAAGTCACTGTAAACACCTCGAGCAAAGGCAGGAGTGAGGGTCCCTTCCCTCCAGCTYCCCACAGGTTTCTCCAAGCCCCAGAGATCAGCAGCAGGTAACTGAAAGACTTGTGACCTGCAGAAAAACCAGTTCCCAGGCACAGAAAATAATCCAAGGGATGTAAAGGCCACTTACCTCAGTCCAGAATCCCTGATTATCCATTTCCAGTGTCTGGATCCCCACTTCARGGTCWCTTCTGTCCCAAAGGGCTCTTCCATCCTGCCAGCCCAGCCTCTTGGTCCCCAGGCACTGGGGAGGAGAGCACAGGGAGTTGCACAGCCCTGCCTGGCCCCGTAGGGTCCCTGGGCCCACCCCACAAGGGACCAGGACAGACTTTGTCCTTACCACGAGCGCGATGGGCGCAGTGATAATGCAGAAGCCAGCGATGACCATGAAGGCCACTCCATAGGCTGGGAAGGCAGGCTGGGGTGAGGGCGAGGGAGGCTCCAAGGTGTTCTCTGGAGCAGAACACAGCATTTAGAGCCCGGAGCAGCCAGGGGCTCTGCCCCACTCCATTCCAGGACAAACACAGAGCATACAAAACATCTGTTCACACCCTCCATGCCCTGTCCTGCCATCCTAACCAGCCCGGAGCAGGTCTCCAACCCCAGTCCCCCAGGCTGCTCAGAGGGAGAGGGCACAACTCTTACAAAAATTTTAATTTCTGGTCACCTCACCCTCTCTACACACAAAGGATCAGGATCTGGTCAGTTGTGGATGCACTCTKCTCACACTGCACACCTCTTGTATGGCCGTGTCCCAGAGGGGAGCTTACCTCCCACAGAAAGAGAGAATGGATCYACATGGATGTCAGAGCCAGCCAAAGCCTGGTTTGGCCCAATTGAGAGCACAAGCGTCTCCAAAACTTCCACGCTGGTTGGAGCAGGGTGATGGAATATCATGTTCCCATGGCAAATCAAGGAGCCAGGCCTGCAGASAGCAGTGGGAAGAGCTCCAGCAGCTGCCAGTCCCACAGTTCCCTGGCACACCCAGCCTCCCAGAGGGTTCTGCGCAATAGGAAGGGATCTCTGCACTCAGAGAGCCATTGGATAGAAGGGACATCCCTGGGGGCCCAGCAAGTCACCCCCGGTACAGTGGATTAATGCTGGATCTCAGCTTTCTCTGCAAATCCATCTGCAGCCAGAGCCAGGACCTGCTGGCCACCATCTGAAGGGACATCCCTGTCCCTGCACACCCCTGCCCCAGCAGAGCCCCATTCCCACTCACAGAAATTCTTTTATCATCACTTTCAGGAAGGTTGGGTAATCCTTCAGGGCTCTCGCCACCTGCAAGAGAGGTTGTGCTCAGYTCCCCACCAACTTTTGGGGGTGTTTGGACACCCCAAAGCAGCTCCTTCCCATGGCTCTTCTCACCTCCCCCACCCCGGGAGGACCCTAATCCCCTCCTCCCGCCAGCCCCATTCCTACCACATCCCCGAGGTCCCTGGAGAGATTCTGGTGCTCTGCAGAGAGCGGATCCTGAAGCTCCTGGCTGAAGTGTCTGTTGGTGACGAGGAAGGACAGGGGGTACACGTGCAGACGCAGCCCGGACCCTAAAGGAGCAGGAGTCAAGTGCTGAGCGTGCAGCTTTGTGTGTGACCCCGGCCACAGCACACACGGGGACTGTCCTCACCCTCCACCGACAGGGACGACAGGTCCATGGAGAAGCCTGAGAGCGCAGTCAGAGCCTCCAGAACTTGTGTAACGTCAGCATGGACAGCTGTGTCCAGGTAGAGGTCTCCAGTCATCTCCATGTTCCCATTGAGGTTCCTGARGGGACACAAGAGCTCTGAGCAAGGCAGAAGGGCTGGGACCAGGCTCGAGCACCTTGGCTGGTGTTTTTCCCCCCGAGAGCCCATGGATGGTGCTCAGTTTGAGTTTGCTCCAACTGCACAATCCCCTCCCAGATTTCCCCATCTCCTCCATCCTTGCTGCGACACCTGATGAGCTGCAGAGGGCACAAGAGAGTGAAAGGAATTARTTGAAAATCTTCAGCTGCATCCCGTACCTGAGCTGGGAGATGGTGAAGTTCCTCACGTGGTAGAGGGAGCCGACAGATGAGGTGACCTGGGTGAGGAGAAGGCAGCAGTTCACATCTTGCCATGTTCAGCACGGGTTATCCCATCACCCAGGCAGCCTGTGCCSCTTTTCCCAGCATCAGGGAAAGGGGCATACCTCGCTGACCAGCCTCTCCAGAGGATCCATCCTGCTCCTCCCCAGCTGCGAGCCYGTGAGGGAGATGGACAGCTTCTCTGGGTCCAGATTCTCCAGGCTGAAGCCTAAGGGAGTTTGGGAGAGTTACACTCATTCCTATTCCTCCACCTTCCTGGTTCAACATGGAGCTCATCCACTGCCACACACCACAAGCAGAAGCTGCAGRGCAGCTGAGTGAGGAGGAATTAATTCCTTGGAATGTGGGAAGGGGTCAGGATGTGCCATTTCCCAGCACTGGAGAGCTGGGTCAAGGAGGGGAAGCCAGGGAGCTGAACAGAAGCACAGACCCAYGCAGGTCCAGCTGCTTCAGATGTGCCCTCCAGCATCCTCAGCATCCTGAAAATGGCTTTGCACAGGTCAGGGAGGGGATGTAAAGTGAAGGGAAAGCCTGGAACCCAAACCACGCAGGTTTTGACTTTGGTAGAGGCACAAGGAGGGTGTATGACAGCACTGCTGTGGGAACACCTTCAGGACTCACCACCAGACTGGACAGATTGAGGCTCCAGCTGCCAGCCCAAGAGGCTCCTTCCCCTGCTYGCCTGCGTGATGACCGTCCGGATGAGGTGGGAGTTGGTGGGAGCAGGAACATCCCCCCGGAACAGAACCTGCCCTCGCACCACCACTGAGCCATTCCTGCCAGGGACACGAGACAGTGAGCACACCAGCACTGGTTTTATCAGGTACCTTTATCAAGTATTCAGACAGGGACCCGTCAGGATGATGGTGCCAGGGAGGGAGCCGAGTCCCTCACAATGATCCCTCTGGAGCATTTTCCAAGCAAACCCCTCCCTCTGAGCCAAATCCCCCCTCCCCATCAGCCGCACACTCACAGGAACTCAAGGACATTTGCATACAGGAAGGTCCGGTAGCTGGAGAGCATCTTGTTCAGCTGGAAGGAAGAAGCAGCTGGTCATGGAGAAGCTTTGCCAAGCCCCCCGTGTGAAGGGGAAATGGRCCAGCAGGTGGGCAATGAATAGAGGGGAGTGAGCTCAGTCTGCCCAGGGGAGGGCACGCTGGTACTCCAGGGAGTGCCAGCCCTCTGGGAATGCCCAGAGATGAGCTGGGATACCCAGAGCACCCTGCCACATTCCTGGGAGGGAATGCCCAGTCTCRCCTCCAACCAAGCTCCAGTGGAGCAGTGCCACGGATTCACCCATCTCCACCGTGTGCAGGAGGGCAATAAACCAAACCAGGCACGATACAACACACAGATTTCCCAGCCCAGCCAGGCCTGGCACCACCTACACCCCAAATCTGTGCCAATGCCTGTCCCACCCAGCTGCAGCACCCACCATCAGTGTCACATCCTCCTCCAGCTGCCGGTAGCTGTCYGAGCTGCTGCTGCCCAGGGCCGGGGTGTAAGCGATGCCCAGCAGACGGAATTGCAGGGGCAGCACATGCACAGGCTGTGTGGGGAAGGGGAGCCCGGAGGGGTGCGATGCCTGGGGTCTCATCCCTGGGGAGCGAGGTTTGCCCTCCATCATCAGCTCCGCTGGGCTGAACGCCTCTCCGGTGGCTGTGGAGGAGCGCTGGGAAGCAGAGGAGTCGCTGGACACAGACGGGGCATGGAGGGTCACTCCTGTGGGCACAGGCGGGGTCTGGGAGCTGAGCAGGGAGCTGGCTGTGTGCCCAGCTCCGGGAGATGTCGGCAGGCAGGATGGAGATATCACACTGGCGGTGGCAGCGTGATGCCCAGGCTCCAGGGCAGCGTTTGTGGGGCTGGGGGGAGGCACAGGGTCTCGGCTGGCAGGAAAGGGCCCTGGAGGTGCGGCTGGAGCGGCTCCCAGCGATGCTGTCCCGGATTGTCCCATCACCGTCCCCAGCTCTGGGGTGACACCAGCGGCCGTGGAGCTCCTCACGGTGACCGTGGRACCTGCGGGGCCGGGAGCTGGGGAGGCTCTGCTGGACATCGGCTGTGCAGCGGGGGATGGCAGGGCACTCTGCAACCCCGAGGTGACCGCAGGAGCCCTCGACTCCGCCGCGGGAAGGAAGGAAGCCAGCAGTTGCGGACTGGGGACACCAGAAGCAGCTGCGGTGGTGGGAACTGATGCCAGGGATCCATCCGGGAGTCCAGACCCGTTTCCTGGAGCCTGGGCCGACGCAGCATCCACCAACAGAGCAGCTTTGCAGGGCAGGACGGTGCCAGCAGGGCCCCAGAGCCCCTCAGGGGTCAGGGCAGGGGACACCCACGCCGTGCCAGGGGACAGCTCGGCCGGGCTGGGTGTCCCCTGTGGTGACAGGGCAGAGGCCACCACCCGCTCTGCTGCCCTGGGGCTCCGGGAGAGGACATCCATCAGTGTCCATGCTGGGACATCGGGAGGGACCTGAGCACTGCCCGCAGCCCCTTGGGGTGAGGCCACCTGCATCACTGCAGMGGGGCCAGGAGCAGCCGTGGGGAGGGAAGCAGGGTGCAGCCCCACCGGGGAGGTGGCAGGGACGCTGGCAGCCGGCTCAACCCGAGCTCTGAGGGTGCCCTCACACCTCTGCTGTGGGTCCTGGGGCTCTGCTGTGCCCAACCCGAGCCCTTCCCCGTCCCTAGAGCCAGGCTGCCACCGCAGGGAGGGCTCAGATGTCGGTGTGGCCGCAGTCCGTGTCCCCACACTCCACCTCTCAACTCCTGTCCCTCGGGTCACATCAGGAAAGCCACCTGAGGCAATGGTGTCCCCACACACTGTCACCAGGCTGTCACCCACCCCGTGCTGAGAGGCTGACGAGCCTGAGGGACCCCGGGTGACAGCAGCCAGGCGAGAGGGGACAGCAGCGGCAGACACACACAGGGCCAGCAGCAGGAAGGCTCCAGAGCACGGCCCGCGGGCGGGGACAGCCACACGGGGGGCAGGACACGGGGCCGAGCCCGCAGCTCCTTCCCTCTCGGCACGGAGCATCCTCACAGCAGCGCCCGGGGGGTTCGGCGGTCCGGCCCCGCCGCTCATCTCGGGAGAGGCCGTGGGGASAGCTCAGCTGTGGAGAGGGACAGCGGGAGATTCGGGGGGGGGTCCCTACAGCTCCCCACCCAGTGCCCACCCATCCCCAGGGCACCTTATTAAAAATTTCCTTCTCCCCAGCACCCTCCAAGCTCAGGAAAGCCAAACCTCAGCATGTGCCAGGGAACTCCCAGCACAGCACAGTAACCAGCCCTGGGCTCAGACATTCCCTCATTCCCTGCACCCCAGAAACCTCCTCAAGGAGAGCCAGACCCCCAGCACCCCTCACCTGGCAGCCCCCAGGAGAACAGAGCAGCCCAGCCCATCCCAGCCCTGGCTTTTATCCGGATTGCCCGGGGAGGGGGAAATGTGGCTCGGTTCCACCTGCTCCCAATTAACAAAACTCATTTGCACTCCCGCAGGTGAAGCTGAAGGGCTCTCAAACTCTCTCTGCTCCTCATTAAGCCTTTGCCCGCGGAAGGAGGGGGTGTGCCTGCCCCCCAAATCCTGCCGATGCCCGGTTTGTGACACTGCTGGGCTGAAAATCGTGATTGGCTTTAGGGATCAGGCACATTCTGAGCCTGACAGACTCACAAGGGGGAGGGCGTCTCTGGGGTGCCATCCCTGAGCACCCCACGCTCTCCAGCCCTGTTTCTGATGCTCAGACACTGCCATCAGCACTCTATTCCCGGGTCCGTGGGTGCTGGGATGTGCTGGACACMGGGTCCAGCCCTCCGATGGTGGACAGAGGGGCTGGGCACACCCCTGTGCAGGGTGACAGAGGCCAGTGCACCGGGTGGGGGATTTGGGACCCTGTGCCCACGCTGGGAGGCAGAGATGGAAGCAGAGCATGTCTGGAAAAAAATCAAACTCTCTTAACCAGGTGAGACAACTCTTCACATTCTAAAAATTAAATAAAGGAAAGGAGCTTCCTTCCCCAGAATCTTGTATACATACAAAAATGACACCATTATTAACAAACACTGCTCTTAAATCGCTGTGCAGACATGCAGTGGTGTGAGGGGGAACGAGGGGAAGAGCAGCATCCCCCTTATCCATCCCATCCACAGCCATTCCATCCCCTTGGGAAACCAGGAAGGCACCCACAGAAATCCCCCAGTAGCAAACACACCTTTTGGCTAACACWAGTACAGTTTTTGGAGGGTTTTCTTCCCTTAATTTTTTTTTTTTTTAAGTTTAGAAGAAATATTCTCTGTAGTGAAATTTAAAAAAAATCCTAATAACCCACATTTTGCTCCTCCGTGCCCTGCAGCAGTTGAAGAACACCTGAGTTTGGAGTTTTTAAGGCCCCTGCCGTGCATCCTGCTGCAGCTTCCCGGGGTGAGGGGATGTCCTGGGATGCCCACATTCCTCTTGGGATGGAAAGGATCCTTCCTTCCAAGATCTGGCAGCACCATCCCCTCTCTGCCCCTTTAGTCTCCATCAGGGTGATCCCTAAATGCACATTTCCCCTGCTCTCCTTTGGGGTCAGGATCTAGGATGCAAAGTGGTTTGGTTTTCTTTTTCCTTAAATCTTTCCCRCAGCCTTTAATTTTAAATAAAAAGACAAGTATAAATTACTGTATTTAAAGAAAAAAACAACCCAAAACACATGACCTGAAGGCAGCAGCTCCTTATAAAGGTAAATCCAGAACATTTGTAAAATGTCTTCATTTAAAACAAAAACCAACTTAGTCCTGGGACTACAGAAGTCACGATTCTGTTGTGTCAAGTCTCTGTGGCACTTTGAAGATGGAAAATACGGAGGAAGAGGGACGTTTATTGGGAATGGTGTGGACAAAGAGAGGGGATTTAGAGGAGGAGGTGGGATATCATCCCTGCAGTCCCCTTTTTCCAAGGGGGTTGGTGCCGTGGCCGTTTCCGTGCTCCTCCTGCTCCAGCTCCACTGGAACTCGGGCCATTCCCTCACAGCTCACCAGGGCAGGCACAGATGGAGGTGGGAGATGCACTCAAACACAGCGCAGCCGCCGTGAGGGGCTCCGATAACCCGGCAGTGTCCCCACACGTGTCCCTGCAGCACCACCGGGCTGTTCCCACCCCGAGCAGGTGTCCCCATCCTGGAGGATCCTTGGTGCGGGTGGGAGCCGAGCATCGAGCTGCAGGTGACCTCGACATCCCCAGCTTTGGGGACAAGGGACCTTCCCGTTCCTGTCACCGTCTGGCTGTCGCCCTTGGCACGTTCCTCAGTGCCTCCTTTTCCTTGATCTGTCCGTGGTTGTGGCTTTGCTGTCAGCTTTCAGTGCCTCCACACCAGGGCTGCCTGGGAGAGGAAGGAGTGGTTAGGGAGGAAGGAGGTTTAGGGATTATTGGGAACATCCCAAATATTCCSCGCTCTAGTCCAGCCCAGGGAGCGGCCAACTCCAGCTTCTCATCATCACATCCAACCCACACACCTCCACAAAATGACACATAAACCCCATAAATTCCTATAAACCCACAGGAAGAGGAGTTCCCTGCTTGGAGGGGCGCTGGCCAGCACGTGAGCTTGAACTTGGAAGAAATAAAGTTGCTGGGGATGGCCTYGAGCAGCAGCTAAAGGTTACGTGGACAGAGGTGGATGGGACAGCTGTGGGTGGCAGGTCTGACACGGTGCCCTTGSATGGGCAGAGGTGGCCTGGAGGGTGAACTTTGGTGGCCCCAGGATGAGTTTTGTCCCTCCCAGCTCAAACTTTCTCCCTCCACAACGCACAGAGGAACAGCTGGGCAGAACCCCTGGCAGGACAGAACAGGGACACTGAGGATGCTCCCCCAGAACTGCAGCACCCCTGGGAGAGCCCCACGCCCAGGAGATGCCGGGCTACCTACCGAGCTGCTGCCGGATGGAGTTGTGCCAGTGCAGGTTGAGCAGGTCGGGGTAGATTTCGGGAAGCTGCTTGAGCGCCAGGAGCTTCAGCATGCGGGAGGTGCAGCTCTTGAGCTCCAGGTCCCGCAGGTGCTTCTCCTCCGAGAGGGTGGTGGGACGCAGCTCCACCTTGTGCTTCTGCAGCACTCGGTCCACAAAGCTCCCGGGCAGTTTTGGGAAGAGCTTCTCCTTCACCACGTGGATGGGGATGAAGATGGCTCCTGCCCGGATCACGTGGGGGAAAGGGCAAGAGAACATGAAGGTCTCCAGCTGGGACAGCAGGTTGGASAGGAGCACRGCCACGTCCTGGAAAGCCAGCCAGATCTCCTTGCCGCTGCTGGCCTTTTGAGGGCTGGGGACCTTGGAGCCGTTCTTGGGCTTGGGCAGGGATTTGGGCRCCTCTCCCAGCTCTTCTGCCGGCTCTGCCTTCTGCAGCCACTGCTGCAGGAGCTCCGGGGAGGAGCGGGACACRGAGCCTGAAATGGTGTCACAGAGCCACGTGTGCAGGGTGGTGAAATACTGCCCGGAGGGGGTCTGTGCGGGGACACCCCCCAGCTGCCTGACCACCGAGGCCTTCTCCTCCCCCGGGGTGGAGGGGGCTTGGGAGAGGAGGCTCTGGGGAGGGTTTGGGGCCGAGACGGTGCCGAGCTGGGGGCCAGGCTCCGGGGG